CAAATATTTCTTACTCTCTTCCCTTAGGGGGGACAGGATGGCCAGAGTGGGCTGGAGTTGGGTGTTTCTGTTCCCCTAGATCTGTTCGGCTCTGATCTAACCCCAGCAGGTTAGGCTCTGGTTAACTAGTTTCCCTTGAGGTCAGGCCTTGTTCAGAACAGAGTGCTCTGGCATATTTCAAAATGGTTCTTTTTTCCCTCCCCCTGCTGGAAGTATGAGGGAATTTTTCTGATGAATACCCTGGGAACTTGGTCAAGCTCTTGGAAATTAATCTCACAGTATTGTGGGGCTCTCCCTATGACTGGATCCCCGTGGAATTTTAAACTCTGAGTTGTCTGCACTGGTCCTCTAGCGATTCGTCAATTACAGTTCAGGTTTTCTTACCTTGGCACCAGTTTCTTAGTGTTTTCTGTTTTCAGACTTCCTGCTGTGATAACTCATCACTCTGTGTATTTGCTTGTCTGTCTTTCCAGTCTTGAGGACAGCAGTTTGCCCTGTGTCCTTCCCTCTCTTATGCATCCAAGAGTTGATTTTTCAGTCTGGTCAGCTTTTTACTTAGTAGGGTGGAGTAATGAATTCCAAGCTGCTTACATGTGGAATCAGAAGTTCTAAGACCATGTTTGCTTATGTTCCCTAGCTTGTTTACATATAATCATAATGACCAGATTTTAAACGAAATTCTGTACTTAAGACTGAAAATTCACGCTGTTCAGCTCTATCTGCCAATTATGCTGTTGTTCTTTTTAAAAATTTTTTTAGAAGAGCTTAAATGAATCTACATTGTTTGAATGCTAAAATGTGATTTAATATTGATCTTAAGTGCTGGTGAGTTTTCTTTTTAATATTGGCTTCCCTAATAATTTTATGTCTTGAATTTAAATGATTTCATGTCTTGAACCTTACATTTCTATTTCACAAGCTTGATATATACTTTATTTGATGTTTAAGATAGAAAGAAATTATTAAACTGAATGGTAAATAAGAGTATTGTACTTGCATAAGAACAGACATAAAGATCAATGAACTAGAATTGAGAATCAAGAAATAAACCCATACATTTATGGTCAGTTGATTTTCTTTTTTTAAAGATTTTATTTCTTTATTTGACAGAGAAAGAGACACAGTGAGAAAGGGAACACAAGCAGGGGGAATGGGAGAGGGAGAAGCAGGCTTCCCACGGAGCAGGGAGCCCGATGCGGGGCT